CTGGCGAAGGTGGGGGAGCAAAATCGGTGAGTGCCGGGGTTTATCCGCCCCATTCGGTCTTTTTATCGTCCTTTTTGCAAGCGTTTCCCTTAAAAATCAAAGAGGCCGGACAACGACGAGCCGCTTCCCCCAAGCATCGCTCCAGCCGGGGTGCAAACACTCCGGTTTATTATTTTCAAGGTTTTATTTTTCTCTTTGAAAGCAGCAGGGTTTGCTCGTTCAGGCAGGCAAAGGGGATTTCTGGAAGGAGGCGGCTGTTTGGAAATAATAAATAATAAACGCACCCGCTTCGGTGGTGGGTTTTAAACCCGCTCTTTATGGGAAACGAGCCCTGAGGCTCGCTTTGCCGAAATACCGGGCAAAAAAGCGCCGTCCCTGGCATTAAACCGGTGTTAAAATCAAGCCCTGAAATGCAAATTTCCTTGCAAAGCCATTTTGAAGCAAATTTACTCTTGGAAAAAACCCATTGGAAATCTCTTTTTTTAAGCAAATTCATTAAAGAAACCATCCCTGGGTAGACTGCCGGCATCTGGCCGGGGCAAACAGCTCATCCGGGTGCTGTTTTGGGGTGGTTTGAGGGAATATCTCCTCCTTTGGGGCGGTTTTGGGGGAATATCTCCTTTTTTGGAGTGGTTTCGGAGGAATCTCTCCTCCTTTGGGGCATTTTGGGTGAACATCTACTCCTTTGGGGCGGTTTTGGGGGAGTATCTGCTTGTTTGGGGTGGTTTGGGGGGACTCTCTCCTCTTTTAGCCTGGTTTTGGGGGACACTCTTCTCCCTTGTGTCTGTTTGAGAGGAATATCTCCTCCTTTGCGGCAGTTTTGGGGGAATATCTCCACTTTTGGAGTGGTTTTCGGGGAATATCTCCTCCTTTGGGGCAGTTTTCAGGAAATATCTCCTTCTTTGGAGCATTTGGGGGGAATATCTGCTGTTTGGGGGGAATCTCTCCTCTATTTAGCACAGTTTTGGGGGAGTCTGTCCTCCTTCGGGGCTGTTTTGGGGGAGTATCTCCTTTTTTGGGACAATTTGGGGGGAATCTCTTCTCCTTGGAGGCTGTTTTGGGGGCGTATCTCCTTCTTTGGGATGGTTTTGTAGGAATCTCTTCTCCTTGGGGGCTGTTTTGGGGGAATATCTCCTCTTTTCAGGCAGTTTTGGGGGCTCTCTCCTCCTTTGGGGCTTTTTGGGGGCTATCTCGGTCTCTCGCAGGCTACTGGAGGCCGACTCCAAGTCGATGCGCTCCATGAACGGCTCACGAAGGAACAGCGGCTCATCCTTGGTCTCCAGCTCTTCGGCCTCCTCCAACCTCAGCCACCTCGAGGAGGACACCTGGATCCTCTGGGGCCGCATCGTCAACGAGTGGGACGAGTGGCGGAAGAAGAAGGAGAAGCTGCTGAAGGTGAGGAAACTGCTTTATTTTTAATTATATTTTAACCCCGCTGCAAAAATCTGCAGCATGATCTTCCCCGTGCCGGGACAGGATGATGTCTCTCCATCCACGAGGAGCTTCCCCATCTTCTTGAAACCCATTTTCTCAGGTTTTTGCCCCGTTTTTCCGCAGGAGCTCATCCGTAAAGGGATCCCCCACCACTTCCGTGCCATCGTCTGGCAGCTGCTCTGCAGTGCCACCGACATGCCTGTCAAAAACCAATACTCGGAGCTGCTCAAGATGTCCTCTCCCTGCGAGAAGCTCATCCGACGGGATATCGCCCGCACTTACCCGGAGCACGAGTTCTTCAAGGGACAGGACAGTCTGGGCCAGGAGGTGCTCTTCAACGTCATGAAGGTAACGTCTTTCCTCGAACGTCAACGGATCTTGGCCACAGCCCGGACGCCGCTTTGGGTTTTGAAGCTGTTTTAACTGGATCTTAATTTTTGAGGGGTTTGGTTTCCATCACAAACTCCTGCAACCGTCACTTCTTGCAGCGTGACAGCCCTTTCCTCGCAAAGGGACCTCATTCCCCATCCGTCCCAGACCTCATTTTTCCTGTTGAGTTTTACTCTGAGTTAAGAAACAGATAGTTGAGTCTTTGGGGGTCTAAATTCGAGTTTGCGGCAACATCGTGTTCACAGGAGGCGTTGTCAACCAAAAAAAAGCTATTTTCCGTGGTCAAGGCCTCCCTCCGCCGTTGCCCTCCCACAGCAAGCAGGGATGGTGGCCTGGCCAATCCCCCTGCTCACACATACATTTATTTTGAATTTTTTTCCTCCTTCCAGGCCTATTCGCTGGTGGACCGGGAGGTCGGATACTGCCAGGGTAGCGCCTTCATCGTGGGACTGCTGCTCATGCAGGTTTGTGCCAGCCCCGGGGCGAGGAGAACCTGCCAATGGGTTTTTTACACCCTCCGGAGACGTGGTAGAATGGGGTTGGGGAATAGGAGCCTTTTTCTTGATCCTCAGGAACAAAATGGGCTCGTTCCCACCATCCCACTTACTCCTGATAGGTTTAAAATCCCCCGTTCGCATTCCCCTTCACCCAGGGACGGCTCCCGGCACGTCCCATCCCATCCCGTCACCTGATGGGAAGAGGCTTTGTGTCCGGAGCTGCCGGCAGAGGTTTAAGGGGGAATTCATGTCCCTTTGGGTCTCCAGATGCCCGAGGAAGAGGCCTTCTGCGTGTTCGTGAGGCTGATGCAGGAATACCGCTTACGGGAGCTCTTCAAACCCAGCATGGCCGAGCTGGGCCTCTGCATCTACCAGTTTGAGTACATGCTGCAGGTAAGTGCTGCCCCATGCCCCCCAAAATGCTCGGGGTGGTGGGAACCAGCGGGTAGAGCCAGGGGACAAGGTCAGGGAGAGGTAGGAGTGAGGTGGCAGCTCTTGGGAGAAATGGGTTCCTCCAACAGAGCTCATGTCCAGCAACACAGATCCTGGGGACGTCTATGAGATGCTCTGAGGACCATCCATGATTTCTCAAGGGGGACATCAGTGAGACCCCAAGGACGTCCACGAGACACCCTGGGGACATCCAGGAGACCCCAGGGCACCTCCATGGGATGCCCCAGGGACCATCCGTGAGACCCTGGGGACCATCTGTGAGACCCTCAAAGGGACCATCCATGAGACACCCCAGGGACCATCCACGAGATGCCCTGAGGGACATCCATGAGACCCTGGGGACCATCCACAAGCCCTCCCCCAGAGGACCTTCCATGAGACCCCTCAGGGACCTCCACAAGACCTCGTGGACCTGTTCAAACCTCGGCAGCCGTGAATGACCCCTAAAAACATCCACCATTCCCCGTTTCTCTTCATTTCTTCCATTTCTTACATCCAGGAGCAGCTGCCAGAGCTGAACATCCACTTCCGCTCGCAGAGCTTCCTCACCTCCATGTATGCTTCGTCCTGGTTCCTCACCCTCTTCCTCACCACCTTCCCCCTTCCCGTGGCCACGCGCGTCTTCGACATCTTCATGTACGAGGTAACGGGGCCGCGGCCAACACCATAAATCACAAAGGCACCACAACCACGTTTTCCACTTGGAAACGTTCTTCCCCACGCCAGCTGGTCTGGTTTTGGGGAAAAAAAAACCCAAACCCCGGGTGGGAAAGGCGATGGCGTGGGGGTCAAGCGTGGACCCTTCCTGTTAGGGGCTGGAGATCGTCTTCCGCGTGGGGATGGCACTGCTGCAGTTCAACCAGGCTGAGCTCGTTCAGCTCGACATGGAGGGCATGTCCCAGGTACGTGCCGGTGGCTTTCGGGGTGGATTTAGCCCACGGGATGTGTTTCGGGGTGGATTTGTCCAACGGGACATGTTTTGGTGTGGATTTGTCCAACAGGACACGTTTTGGGGCAGATTTGTCCAACGGGTCACGTTTTGGGGCAAATTTAGGCAACAGGTCATATTTGGGGGTTGATTTGTCCAATGGGCCGTATTTTGGGGCAGATTTAGTCAACGGGACGTGTTTTGGGGCCAATTTATGCAACAGGCCATATTTTGTGATGGCTTTATGCAACGGGCTGTATTTCAGGTTTACACGATGGGCCATATTTTGGGGCTGGTTTATGCAATAAGTTGTATTTTGGGGGGGATTTATGCAACGAGGGCCTGTTTTGGGGCAGATTTATCCAACGGGCCCTACTTGGGGGCTGGTTTACGTGATGGCCTGTATTTTGGGACCATGTTTCATGGCCCGTTTCCGCACCCGCAGTACTTCCAGAAGGTGATCCCACACCAGTTCGACAGTTGCCCCGACAAGCTCATCCTCAGGGCCTTCCAGGTCAAGTACAACCCCAAGAAGATGAAGAGGTGAGACGGGTTCCTGCGCTTGGGTGGGGTCCCCCCGAGAGCCGTGGGGCACAGGGCCAGGGGGGTCTGGTCCCCGTCCTCGTGTCCCAGCCTGTCCCCGTGTCCCGAGCAGGCTGGAGAAGGAGTACGCCGCCATCAAGAACAAAGAGATGGAGGAGCAGATCGAGATCAAGGTGAGACAGGTCAAGCGTTGGCATCCTGGGGCCACTTGAGCCATCCTCATGGCCACTCGGCCCATCTCCGGGGACAGTTGAGCCCTCCTGGCATGGCATAGTCCATCCCTGAGGCCATCTAAGCCATCCTGGAGCCACTTTGGCCCATCCCAGGGTCACTTGACCCATTCCCAGAGCCGTTTGAGCCATCCTGGGATGGCTTAGCCCATCCTCGGGGCCGTCTAAGCCATCGCAGGGCCACCTTGACTCATCCCTGGGATCACTTTGAGCCATTCCGGAGCCATGTAGCCCATTCCTGGGGCCACTTGAGCCATCTCGGGGTGACTTAGCCTCTCCCTGGAGCCACTTGACCCGTCCCTAAGGGTCACTTGAGCCATCCTGGGATGGCTTAGCCCATCGCCAGGCCCACTTGAGCCATCCTGGGACAACTTCACCCATCCCCAGGGCCATCTAAACCATGCTGGGATCGCTTTGACCCATCCCACGGCCATTTAAGCTGTCCCCAGGGCCACTTAACCCATCTTGGGTACCATTTAGCCTGTCCCCAGCACCTTTTGAGCTATCCCCAGGTCACTTGAGACCTCCTGGGGCAGCTTAGCACATCCCCAGGGCCACTTAAGCCATCCCAGGGCCACCTGACCTGTCACAGAGCAGTTTGAGCCATCCCAGGGCCACTTTCACCCATCCTTGGGGACGTTTAGCCCATCCCTGGGGCCATTTGAGCCATCTCCGGGGCCATCTAAGCCATCCTGGGGCCACCATGACCCATCCCAGGGCCATTTAAGCTGTCCCCAAGGCCACTTAGCCTGTCCCCAGGGCCATGTAAGCCATCCCAGGGCCACTTTGTCCCATCTTCAGGGTTGTTTGAGCCATTCCGGGGCCACTTGACCCATCCCCGGGGTCGCTGGAGCCATCCGGGGACGGCTTAGCCCATCCCCGGGGCCACCTTACCCCCACGTCCCCCTGTCCCCGGGCTGTCCCCAGGCTCAGCGCCCCCCCTGCCAGGGACATCACCCCCCCCCGGGGCTAATTCCTCCCCATTTTTCCCCCCAGCGCCTCCGCACCGAGAACCGCTTGCTGAAACAGCGCATCGAAACCCTGGAGAAGGTGAGCCCCACGGCTGGCACCCCAAAACCCCCTGTGGGCACCCAAACCCCCCCTGGAGCACCCCAAATCTCCCCTGGAGCACCCCAAACTCCCCTGGGGCACCCGTGCTGCCGCCGCCCAGAGATCCCAGCACCCATGGGTGCAACCCCGCAACCTCCAGCACCCCTTTTATGGGCTGCACCCCCAAAATCCCCCCTCCCATCACCATTTTGGTGCAAAAATAGGAGATTTAAGTCCAGCGAGCGGCTGCTTCATCATTTTTCCCACACAAAGTCTCCCTCCGGGAGGTGGGAAACGCTCCGTTTTAGGGCAAAACACCACCATCGCCGTGTTTCCTCCCCGGCATGGGGCAAAAAGAGCTAAAATCCTTGGAAAATACCCCAAAACGGGAACCGATGATGCGCGGGAAGGTTGCCGGGTGCCTCCGCCTCATGGCTTCTCTCGCTGCCTCCGTCTCCTTCGTTTATCTCGTTATGTCTCTCCTCTCTTTCTCTCTCTTCTCCGCCGGCGGCCGCAGGAGAGCGCGGCTCTCGCCGACAGGCTCATCCAGGTAGCGTCAAAAATAGCTATTTTTCTCTTTCCCGCTGCGTTTTAACCCTTTTCTTCCCCCTTTCGCTTCCCAGCCCGCCTGCGTCTGGCTCGTTTGGGGAAGATTTGCCAAGATGGGTTAAAAGCCGCCGTTTTGATGAGTTTGACCAAAATACGTGGATTTTGAGTGGAAGGTCATGGGTTGTGGGGTGAGAGCGGCTCGGAGGGGACAAAATGGCCCTGGAGGTCCCCACGGGGCTGGTGTCACCTCCTTGTCTTTGGTGTCACCTGATGTGAGGCTGGTGTCACCCCCCAGGGCTGCCCCCTTGTCTGCAGTGTCACCTGCCATGGGGCTGGTGTCACCCCCCAGGGCTGGTGTCACCCCCTTCTCCTTGGTGTCACCTGATGTGGGGCTGGCATCACCTCCTCATCCCCAGTGTCACCCCCCCCTTGCCCCCAGTGTCACTGACCACAGGGCCAGCATCACTCTGGTGTTACCCCCTCGTCCCCACTGTCACCTGCTGGGGGGGAGCTGGCGTCACCCCCTCATCCCTGGCCTTGCTGTGGGGCTGGCATCACCCCCTTGTCCCCAGTATCGTGCCTTTGTCCCCAGCCTCACCCGCTGCGGGACTGGTATCACCCCTCGTCCCTGGTGTCACCCCCTTGGACCCCAGCGTCATCCCATGTCCCCAGCGTCACCTCGTGTCCCCAGCATCACCCCCTTGTCCCCCCCACCCCACCGCTACCACCACACCCCTCCCAGTGACACGCTGCAGGGGAGAACCGGGCACGCCATGCCATGGTGGTGACGCATCCCCGCTGTCCCCAGGGCCAGGTGACACGGGCGCAGGAGGCGGAGGAGAACTACATCATCAAGCGGGAGCTGGCGGTGGTGAAGCAACGCTGCACCTCGGCCACCGAGAACCTGCAGCGTGCCCAGACCACCATCCGGCAGCTGCAGGACCAGCAGGTCGGTGTCCCCACGTGTCCCCAGATGTCCCCAGATGTCCCCAGGTGTCCCCAGACGTCCCTATCGCCCCCACGTGTCCCCCTTTCAATTCGCGCCCCACTGCAGTTCAGATTCGGGTGCAGGTGGTGGGTGCCACCACTGCAGGCAAGGGGGGGGGGGGGAAGGGCGCCGGGGGGGGGGGGGGCCCC